GATTGTCAATGAATGGGTCGAGAAGGAAACGTTCAGCAGTAAGTTCAGGTCGGTTGAGATAGCCCCGTGCCACACCATCACCACCAATATACAATTCTCCTTCAGCTCCTAGTGGCACTGGCTCACCAAATGCATCCAGCAGATAAATACGCTTATCATACAGTGGACGACCGATTGGGGTCAGCGAGTTCTCGGGAATCTTGTTATCACAGATCCAACACGACGCAAATATAACAGTTTCAGTGGGGCCATACAAATTTAATAAAATCGTTTCACTTTTTGCGTACTTTGCATACCAGTCCCTCAAAATCAATGGATCCAACGCTTCACCACCAAAGAGCACATATCGCAGTTGATTGGATCGCAAACTTATATTATTGGCTGTCATGAGCGTTTTAAATGCCGATGGGGTTTGATGTAGTACAGTAATACCACTCGTACAGATCCAATCATAAAATTCATCTGCGGAGCGGGTGATATTGGATGGTTCAATCGACAATTGACTGCCATAGCATAATGCACCCCATATCTCCCAAACAGAAAAGTCAAAAGAAATCGAATGACATGTACAGAATATATCCTTTTTATCAAAATCAAATTTGTCGTTTACGGACTTGAGAAGTTGTGCTGCCTGGTGATGTTCAACCATTACTCCTTTCGGTGTTCCTGTTGTACCAGAGGTGTAAATAATATAGGCCAGATGGCCTGGAGTAACTCCAAGTACAGTAACATCCAGATTATTAATTGATAAATTGACACACAACGGTTTATCCAAGTCAAGCATTGGTACTTGATGGTCTCCGAGTGCTTTCCGACCCGTAGCATCTGCCAACAAAAACATAGGTTTGGCATCCTGTAAAATATTAGTTAGTCGCTTACTACTGTAAGCCGGATCAAGTGGTACATATGCGCCGCCGGCCTTCAAAATACTCAGCATTACAATGAGCATTGTTGTGTTACGCTCAACGCAAAGTGCGATGCGGTCATCGGGTTTGACGCCACGTGCAATTAAATAATGTGCTAGTTGATTAGCTTTTGTATTGAGTTCTTTATAGCTCAGAGTCTCTCCATTAAATTTTACAGCAGTCGCCTCTCCCTCGCATTCAACCTGCTCCTCAAATAATTGGTGAAGACAGCAGGTGGGTGAATAAGTTACCGTTGTTTGATTCCAGGTGTGCAGCAGTAACGTTCGCTCTTCTATTGGAACTACTGCTAATGTCCTTAGCTGTGGCTGAGGATTTTGCGCTAGCGCATAGGCGAATGATTCCAGAGCTTGTTGCATATAGCCACAGATCCGAGTTGCTGATATCGGTAAAATCACTTGTGGCACCAGTCTTAGAGAATTGCCATCATCTTCAACCGACAGAACTAATGGGTAATTTGTTCCCTCCTCACCACCCAAAAAAGTAACTCCAGAAAGTGACGCAGTGTCATGCTCGGTCTTTCGATTATGGCGATAGTTCAGTATAGCGCTGAATAGTGGCAAGCCAGTTGGACACCCACTGCAGCGTTGTGCCAACACAAGTGATGCATGTTCATGTGCTAGCAATGCACTCAACCGTGCATGAGTATGGCGTACTGCAATTTCTATACTCCTCTCATCAATATTTAGCCGCATTGGAAGCGTGTTAATCGTCGGTCCCATGATGTTATGGTTCTTTTCTCCGGCCTGTAAACGGCCAAGTAGCACGGTACCGAAGACCACTGCATCACGACCACTAGTTCGAGCAAGCACTTGTGCCCAGGCTAAATGGCAAACACTAGCCAAACTAACCAGCAACTTACGTGCATCTGCCCTGAGTTGATCGTTGAGTATCTGTGGTAGCATCAGGTGTGCTTCATTGATCTCCATTCCACATAGGCCAACATCGCTCAGGCCAAATGGCAAGGTTGGCTCGTCAATATCACTGAGCATTTTGGTAAAGAATCGCTTATGCTCATCTGATGTGGCTCCTAGTCGAGCCTGGGCTACGAGATAACGGAATGATGTTGGCGTAGTCAACTCTTCGATCTTTTCGTCGATAATGGCATGAACTTCTGCTGCTAGTTTCTCCACTGATGAATGGTCAGCAATTATGTGGTGCATAAGTTGAAGTGCTACCCAGCTACCTCCAGGTGTTGGCGCTGCCATCAATCGAAATAGCGGTCCTTGTGTCAACTCTAAACGGTAGTGACGCGGATTGAATTGGTCACTCAATTGCTCTACTACAGATACTTCGGTATCACCAATTCTAATCTCGGCGAGTAACGTAGGAACCTGGCGCAGAACGACCTGTGCCGGTTCATTGAGACCTTCCCAGATGAAGACGGTACGTAAAATATCGTGCCGCGAAATTACCTGTTGCAAGGCATCCGCATAACGTTCAAGTGCCGTCCGATCAGTAAACTGTAAACGGCTTACCATTAGATACGGATCACCACGATCAGCCTTTATGTGATGAAACAACATGCCATGCTGT